AATACTAACAATAAAGACAAAAAAAAATTGTGAAGTTTATAGAAAGTCAAAAGTACAACATTGACTTATTATGTGAAGTTTTCATATTTTCAAACCAATTGCATAGTCTGATTTATCCAGATTAGAAACTACAAAAGTTTTTAGTCTACAAAAATCAGACACAATTAAATTTCACATGGAGTACAAAACTACAAAAGTGGTTTTAGTCTCCAAACAAAATTAAACATATTCTTAGATTATCACAGAGATATGCTTTTCTTTTCAAATAGCCTTCCAACTATAACATTTTGACATACTATTTTATCAAACAAAAATGTGCATCTCTCATTCGGCAAACTAAAGAATTTTAAAGGCAACACTTTTTTCCAAGGAAAATTCATTCAAAAATCATATGCTTTGCAGATCTTTTTCCAAAGACATACATGATAAATATCAAAACTGTTAACTTTTAGAAACTATTTTCCTCCATATATAAATAATAAGAAGGATACATGGTGTAATCTTTAACCGAAATACCTCCAATTTTCTAGTACATTCTCACTTCGACCTTGCTAAACAAAGCACCAAATTCTGGAGAAGTAATGCATTAATCTTCTACTTCCATGATCTGTTTCTCTCAATCAGTAGAATACAAGAAATACCAACAGTAGAACAATTTCCTTAAGATTGTTGGTCATATTGTATTCCCAAGATACTTAGAACAAAACTTTGAAGAACTTGGTAAGAAACAACTAAGTTTAAAGAGTATTTTCAAACTAGAAAATTAAAACTAGTAGAGAAAATAGAATCATAAATAGATTAGAAACAAAATAAAAATATTTTTCTCAAAGAAAGAAAATCGAGCCCACCGAATGCATAGTGTCCCATTTAGGAAATTATTCCCCTCATGTACCCGAGGTTAATGGAATATATCCTCCTAGGATAGAACGATCTTACTCACCAGTGTATCGGTACCTAAAACCACGGTGTCAGCGAACCACTCAACGGCAGTAAAGTACACTTAGAATACTAGATTTAGTAGTAGTAGAAGAAGTCCAGAAAAATTTTGTTCTACTAAAATGATAGGAAATCCCTCAATTTATAGAAAACAAAGACTAGTGTGAAAAGGTTCTTATTGTGCCTTACCGGAAAAGTCACAATCTTTCGGAAAGGTTACAACCTTTCATAAAAGTCACAACTTTTCATAAAAGTCTCAACTCTTCATTTTCTATTCAAACCTTTTAAAACCCAACAGTCCACCCCACCCCCACCTCTACTTCAACCATCTTATACTTTAATAATAAGAAATAATCTGCCATGAAATTACTCTATCATCACCCTATGCTAGAAGTGTAACAATTGGCTTCCTTCAGAATAACAAAACATACATATATCTTCAATTAATTATAAAGCAACCAAGGCCTCACAGACAATGCATCAATAGCAGTCACATATACATTAATTCAACAGAACCTTGTTTAACACTACTCTTTGATGATCTAAAAAAGCAACAACATTATATTGTTCATATATCTAATAGAACACTTCACTAATAATTCGAACGATCTTTAGAACCATAACTAATAAGAAATAGCCCAGAAACTATTGCATATATGCTTTAACCATATGATCACATATTTTTGGACTCATCATCTGATTCCTCAGAAGAGACATCGGTATCTGTGTCAGTAGTTCCAATCGCGACTGCTGCTTCTGAGTTTCTATTTGGGATCACCTCCACCTCAGTGCTCTTCTTGCTTGATTGTTTTGCCTGTAACAAAATAATACTCCTATCAATCATCAAATTAGTTGCATTCAACAAAGATTTCCGGCATCCTAAGCTGGAAAAATATGTCGTCATGAAAGAGGGATTAGCTAGGTAGAACAAAATTGATTAGCTGTCGTGGAAACACTAGAATTTGAGAAAGATTCTACTCCTGAAGCATGAGTTTTTGTAGTTTGTCCCGATGAGATTGATATTCCAATCTTTCTAACACGTTGGTGGTACAGGAAGTGAAAAATCTAACCACACATTAATTACTTGAACGCTACAATTGAAAATATATTTCATGGTGGATTAATCAAAATTCATAAAGATATAAAAAGGAATTCTTTAAGCGATTGTTTGGTTCAAGGGATTAATTGGACTATCCTATGATAGATTTTGAGGTTAAACCTATCTCGTATTTCATTGGAAGTATTACCTAAGATCAGTGTTATTTCTATACCAAAATCTTGGTATCACTCATCTCATATAAAAAGTGGGACTGATATAATCCCTAGTTAGTTTATAAAGTCTAAAAACCTGTTGGTTTTACCGGTACCAATGTTGGGTTGTTGGTCGTGCTCCTCATAGCCTTCACTTATTTCTTGAAATAGATATCCAAATGCAATGTATTACTACTAAATGGATTCACTTAATAGCTAATAAAACAGTTAAGATGTTTACTTACCTTGCTCAATTACATTAGCATTAGTTTGAAGGTTAACTGGAATATCTTCCTCTTCTTCCTCGATTACATTAGCATTAGCTTGGAGGACTGGAATATCTTCCTCTTCTTCATCTGATTCAGTCTCTTGATCTATTGGATATTCAATTTCTGTTGTACTCTGATCATATATAGCGACATCAAAGTGAGAACGCGGGTTGTATGTGAAGACTAATAAGCTCCTGACGCTTATTGAGTAATAGCCACAAAAATCTTTCCATCCTTTGGCTAGCCAAATTTGGCCTTGAGAATTTTCCACTTCAACCTCCCATGCTTTTCCATGGGAGCCTCAACAAACACGGGGTTTAACATGTTCTTGCAATGTCTTTTGGCAAATACTACTGGAATCCTCTGTGTGCAAAAGAAATTTGAATTCAGTTTCATACAGACAGAAGCAGACATAAATAATTAGTTTAACATATATCTTGGACTGAATACACAGAAGCAGCTACAAAATTGGTAGTATCTTTATTCGACCTATGTGACTAGTTACTTCTACATGTACAAGTTACCTCCTATTAACACATCCTTATATTTGGTTTATCAAATGTTGAATCCTCCAAATATCTATCCTTGGGCGTGAAAGGAATGTTTTCTTTATCGAGGGATGAAATTGTCTTCTTACATGATTTTTTTGAGAAATTCTCATTGAATTAGATCCATATAAAAGTATAGTAATTGTTGGATCTAAATCAACAGTTAACAAGGACTGAAATTACACTTGCACTAAAAAAATTGGGAATCTGTGAGCAAAATAAAGATTTGAAAGATGAAGAAAGTACTTACGAGACGGCATAACTCATCTGAGGAAGTAATGATTTGGATGAACTTAGGGTTGTTGGGAGAAGAGTTCCTAAAGGAAGAGCCATGGAACTTGTTTACCATGACGGCAGTTGAGCAATGGATGGGAAATTGTTGAGAAATGCTTTTTATAGGACTATGTGCACGAATCACGAGGACAATGCAATGCGTGTATCATGAGGACTGTATTTTATCTGACTCACGAGTACTATGTGATGCGTCTGATTGACTCACGACTGTGTGATATACAAGGCAAAAGAAAAACATATGAATAATGTTTGACCAGATTTTCAATCAGATTATGAAAATCTGTCTTAAATTTTTTTTCAAGCTTCAACCCTTTTTATTTTGAGAAGTTTCACTTTCACTCAGAAAAGTTTAATTTTTTAAAGTAAAATACATATCGAAATACAACTTCATATTTCAAAAATTACAATTGTGTATATGCTTCGTCTTGAAAAATGTGATCCGGAAGAAGAAAATGCATGAGATAAGGCCCTTGGTGGCTTGGCTCCCTCGTATTCTGGTCTACACTCCCCTTGGACCTTGTGAGTTGGTCTTTCTTTTACCTAGCTTCGTCCCGAACCAAGGAGGCACTAAGAAAAAGTACGTAATGGATACACCTTTTAATTCTCATGTCTTAAGCATAAGAGATTTTCTCGTTTCATTAATATTGTCTGGATCCCATGATAAGGCGTTACAACTTATACAATTATCATATTAAGTTTCAATTGCAATAATAGCGACAAAAGGTATAAAACAATCAAAGTAAAACACTTACTAAAAGAAATATGGAATTATCAATCTAGTAGAACATCATTCCATCTTCTTTATTTTAGGTAAGTAAATTAAATTGAACAGTAATATAGATAGAACTATTTTGAATGATATTTCTGAGCTGATTTCGCCTTTAGTCTTGCGCAGTTAATCAGGCCTTTCATCAACTAAAATAAGAAAGAGAGGCATAGAGATCCAGATATGCATTATCTCCTTCCCTCTCAAAAAGGAACTAACATAACACATAGTAGCTAAACAAAATATACATAGGAGTTTAAAGTAGGAAACTAAACAAGTGATCAAGCAATCTTAAATACATTAAGTAGAAGGAAATATGATGACATTGACCAGAAGTTTGGGTCTACCAGCCCATTCAAAGACGCAAACATCACCAACTTTTAGGTTGTTGTCCAGCACAAAATCCTTCCAACCAGTACTGAACTTCGCGTTTGCTATTCCAAGAGTGCATTTTACAGTCCATTGTCTGATTCTTGAAACTTGAAATACAACGTCACTCTGTATAGTGGAAAAAATTTCCTAGCTACTGACGACGTTATGCTCTGTCAGTTTGAAGGATGCATTATCATATGGAACAAAAGATTCATCATGTAATAGTTAGTCAGGGATCGCTTTAGATAACTAAAATATATATACACGAATAACTATCTTACCAATTGCATCGGGCCTCTGACCAGAGACACATATGATGGTTGATAACCTTTCTTTTACTATCAGAACCTCCTGGCACTTCTGCGACTATATCGTGCATTAGTGTGCTCCCAGCTGCACGAAATATTGTGACATCTACACAGAGCTGAGTGCCCTTAATCACTTCAAATACACAAACATCACCAACTTTCAACTTATTTTCTAGCATGAATGTCTTCCAACCAGAATAAACTTTAGCATTTTTTGTTCTGATAGTGCATTTGACAGACAAAGATCCACTTCCTGGAATACAAAGCATTAAATTTCCATCGGTCTCAAGGAAATACTTCCTAGCAAATTTTGAATGTATTTTCTGCCAAAATAGATGGACACAGTGAAATGAGTACAACAGCATGCATCCATATGGATTGAGTAAAGATTTTGGAAAGTCTACAGAGTTTATAGCTTGTAGCTTACCAGAATGTATGGTATGGAGACATACGATGGTTGCATAAAAGATATAATGAATGGATTTTTAGATTTAAAAGCTTTAGCTCTTTGATATGCTATAGTGCTATCTTTGACCATTACAGTCTTGTTCTTATTATAAACAATCTTGGATTGTTGCTTGTGCATCCCACAACTTCCTTCGCTTTCTTCAAAATAAAAAACCAATATCAATGTATTACTACTAAGTTGTCACGTAAGTAGAAGATCAATTTTGTCCGGAGAACACCTTCTTACTTTTGGTATTTTTTGTGGGAGAAGGCAAAGCTACATCTTCTTGTGAGTTTTCCACAGCATCATCCTCTGCATCCACTTCTGGTCTTTTTCTTTTAATTCCACGTCCTAACGGACAATGACCCAAAATTTCAGCAGAATGCTTTATCTCAGTGCCTTCACCATGTTCTTTTGAAAATATTCAAGCCAATACAACCTTAATGAAATGATCAGAATATTACTAGTACAACGAAAGCTACATACTCCAGACTATCTTATAGAGAAAATTCAACTTTATCTATCACCTTTAATTTTTGAGTTGAGATCATATGAATATCCTGCATGGTGCTTTAATTTCTTGGTGTGGACTACTTTGGGTTGAGAACATGGAACAGAATTATCAGCTTTGACAACCTTGCTTTTACTATCAGAACCCCCTGGCACTTCTCCAACTATATTGTGCATTGGTGTGCTCCCAGCTGCACGAAATATTATGACATCTATAAAGAGTTTATCGTCCCTAAGCATTTCAAATACACAAACATCACCAACTTTTAACTTATTGTCCAGAACGAATGTCTTCCAAACAGACGTAACTTTAGAATTCCATAGTCTGATAGTGCATTTGACAGACCAAGATCCACTTCCTGGAACACGAAGCAAAAGATTGCCATTGTTCTCAAGGAAATGCTTCCTAGCAAATTTCGACGAGATGGATTGCCAAATGAGAGGGCTAAGTAAATAGATTTTGACATAGTGCAAAATGGAATAAAGAAATATTAGAGCACTGCAAAGTCCATAAAGATTATAGCTTGTAGCTTACCATACTGAATGGAGCAGAGACATATGATGGTTGCATAAAAGATATAATGAACGGATTCTTAGATTTAAAAGCTTTTGCTTTCTGATATGCTATAGTGCTCTCTTTGTCCATTACCATCTTGTTCTGATCGTAAATAGATTGTTGCTGGTGAATCCTGCAGTCTTCATTGCTTTCTTCAAACAGAAAATTAAGATCATTGTGTTAATACTAAATGAATTTAAGTTATATGTAGCAACAATGTAAAGTTTCTTTTTACCATTTCTAGAAAGCTACTTACTACTAGTAATACTTACCATAAAGAGTTACGAGCTAATAAGTGACTTGTTTTGTAATTAGGTTTGCATAGAACTTAAACTCATAGTACTAATTATTATGTAACAAGATTGACATTGAATTCAGGTCATAGCCAATAAGATCCTCACATTGGCCCTTTCTTGTGAAAGAAGGTGAAGCTACATCCTCTTCATCTCTTTTCCTTTTGCTGGACTGTCCATCGCCTAGATTTTCAACGGAATGATCAACCATATCAGGAACTTTTCATTCAATTTCTGGCTTCTTGGAATATCCTCTAGGATATCAACATAATCATCCGACTCGGACAGGTCACTTTTTAGTACATGGTGTGTTTCATGACAATGGAAGGTGCGTAAATTATATGGATATTCGATTTCTGTTGCACTCAAATCAAATATAGTGACATCAAAACAGGAATGAGCATTGTATCCAAACATCAAAAAGTGCCCACAGCTTATTGAATAATAGTCACAGAAATCCTCCCATCCTTTGGCTAGACAAATTTGACCTTCAGAATGTTGCACTTCAACCTCCCATACTTGTCCACTGGGAACCTCAAGATACACCGGGTTTAACATGTTCTTGCAACATCTTCTGGCAAATTCTTCTGGAATCCTCTGCATGTGTGCAAAGGAAATCTGAACTCAGTTACATACATCTCGGAATCAAAGACAGTAAAATATCGTACCAATTAATCCTAAGAAAATCCTGCAAAATACTCGTATAATGTATTCTCTGTTTTTCCATAACTAACTACTAAACAAAATGCCCACAATAATCTAATTAGGCCAACTAAAATCTATGTTGCTCAAACTCTCCAAAATCGTTGTCCCAAGCATGTCGGATTCTTCAAAATGCACTACTTTTGGAGTATCCGACACGCACTCATCAACATTTCTGAAGAGTCCGAGCAAGATTACAATTAGAACACAGATACAAATCCATTATCCTATTTCAGAAGATCTAGGCAACATATGTTCGAAAATGAAATAATGGGATTACAATAAATGAAACATTTATCAACAATAAATATTCATAAACTTGATCATTCATACTATTAGTGAAGCATTGCCCCTTAATGTAACTATAATTGGCCGTGAATTCCTATGACTCATACAAAATTATAAGCTTAAATTTGTCATCAATCTTATTATGTTTTTAACTATACACACCACTATATATCTAATTTCAGAATTTGGTTCAACAGACACACTTGGTTGATTTTAAAACAGAAATCAAAAGGGAAAAAAGAAGAAGATAAAGGGAAGTAAATATTCTTTTTTTTTTTACCATTTTAACTACTCTATCATGCTTGTTAACAATAATTGATAAGAAAAATTATTACTTCATTTGACTTGACATAGTGTTTTAATCTGAAAAAGAATTTTTAAAACTTATAATCTAAAGAAAACATTTGAATATTTGTGTGACTGTAAAACACAAAATTTAAAAGGCAAAATATATAACTATACCCTTTAGGACTCATCGGACTATAGATCACAATATTCAACATGATAATTTGTGTCATACGTAGTGTCCTACGTGTATTATGCTATATAGGACTCATGTGTCTATTTGTTGAACTTTATACATTTAAGTGTCTAGTTGTGACACTCAAAATTGGAGAACATAAATGTGAAATAATGTCAAGTTAAATGAATTTATTATGCCTTTTTGAGTTTTGTGGTTTCATACACGATGTTGGAATTGAATTTTTTTTTGAAAAATTTACAACAAAAATACTTTTTTAGGACAAACCAAAAATAAAATAAGACACTTAAATTGGGATAGAGGACCACCAATGGATGTGGTGTAGCGGATG